GTGAGACAGCAGTGGGCAGAGGTTCGCCACCAGCTGACTCCTGGGGCAGTGCTCCTTGCTCCCTCTTTCCCCCATAGCTGCCCAGGGCTGGGCTAGAGATGGGGTAAGAAGGGGAGCTGCAGAGAAGTAACTCAGTACAATTGCAGCTGGGCCATGCTACCTGACGGGCCCAATTGCCCCAAACATTTCCTTACCTGCATCTTTCTTCTGCCAAGAGCCTAGGTGCTATAGACTGAATGTCTGTGTCCCCCACAAAATTCACATGTTGAAACCTAACCCCCAGTGTAATGGTGGAGCCCTCATGAATAGGATTAGTGCCCTTATAAATGAGACCCCAGGGAGCTCTCTCACCCCTTCTACCATGTGAGGTTACAGTGAAAAGAAAGCTTATGAACGAGGAAGGGGGCTCTCACCAGACGCTGAATCTGCCAGCACCTTGATCTTATATTTCCCAGTTTCCAGAACTAAAAGAAATAAATTTTTGTTGTTTCATCCATCCAATCTACGGTATTTATTCTATTACAGCAACCTGAGTGGACTAAGACACTGGCGGGGGGGTAGTTGAGCAGTTAACCAGTCCCCCAGCTCTGCCCAGAACACTCCTCATCTTCCCTCTCATGGCTGATTCATTCTTATCCCTCAAAGCATTAGCCCAGAACCACCTTCTCCAGGAAGCTCTCTCCTCAACTGAGTGTACCTGCCATGTTCCCAGAGCACCCAGGTCTCCATGCTGGATCAGTCGCCACATCACCCTAGGGGCCTGTGACTGTGTCTGTTTCTCTCCCTGCACTGTACGCTCCTCAAAGGTGGGATTTGTCTTGTCCACTGTGCTTCCCCACCTCCCAGCAGAAAGCTTAGTTTTACCTGCACAGTCCCATTTCATCTTCACAGCAATCCTATGAGGTGGACATGAAAAACCATGAGAGATGAAGCAACTTGGCTGAGTAGCAAAAGACTGAGGTGGGATTGAATCCAGGCAATTTGATCCCAGGGACTGGACTCCAGACCATTGTGAGCCCATGCCTTCAATGAAGACTTGCTGAGTGAGGTAAGGGTCTTCCTTCTTCCTTTGTAGCCAGCACGGCCAGCACCCAGCACCCCCTGCCTAGGGTCTGATGCTGGAGAGACCAACACTGCCGCCACAGCCATCTTTACGGGGGAGGGTCATTAAGTGCCATGCACTGTGCTCAGAATTTTACATATGTTGTAGTAGTTTCCTATTGCTACTGAAACAAATTACCCTGAACGTAGGGGCTTCAAATAACACAAATTTATTTTCTTACAGTTCTGGAGATCGAAAGTCTAATATGTATTTCATTGGGTTAAAATCAAGGTGAGCCCCAGTTCCTCATCTGTAAAATGAAAGGGGAGGATGACTCCATCTCAAAGGTTCTTCCCTGGTCTAAACCTCTGGGTTCATAAGGAGGGCAGTGAACTCCTGGTATTTGGCAAGGATGGCAGACGGTGCAGGACATGAGAGGAGACTGGTGGTTGAGAGAAGAAATAAGAAATAGGTGCTGGGGCTTCCCTGGTGGCGCAGTGGTTGAGAGTCCGCCTGCCGATGCAGGGGACGTGGGTTTGTGCCCCGGTCCAGGAGGATCCCACATGGCACGGAGCAACTAAGCCCGTGCACCACAACTACTGAGCCTGAGCTCTAGAACCCGCAAGCCACAACTACTGAGCCCACTTGCCACAACTACTGAAGCCTGCGTGCCTAGAGCCCGTGCTCACAACAAGAGAAGCCACGACAATGAGAAGCCCGCGCACCTCAATAGCCCCCGCTCACCACAACTAGGGAAAGCCCGCACGCAGCAACGAAGACCCAACACAGCCCCCCACCAAAAACAAACAAACAAATAAATAAATAAATAAATAGGGCTTCCCTGGTGGTGCAGTGGTTAAGAATCCACCTACCAATGCAGGGGACACAGGTTCGTGTCCTGGACCGGGAAGATCCCACATGCCATGGAGCAACTAAGCCCATGCGCCACAACTACTGAGCCTGTGCTCTAGAGCCTGTGAGCCACAATTACTGAGCCCACATGCTACAACTACTGAAGCCCATGTGCCTAGAGCCCGTGCTCCGCAACAAGAGACGGCACTGCAATGAGAAGCTCGCACACCGTAACGAAGAGTAGCCCCTGCTCGCCGCAACTAGAGAAATCCCGCGCGCAGCAGCAAAGACCCAATGCAGCCAAAAATAATAAAATAAATAAATTTATAATAAATAAATATTTTTTAAAAAGGGCAGAAGATCTGAAAAGACATTTTTCCAAAGAAGACATTCAGATGGCCAACAGGGACATGAAAAGATGCTCAACATCATTAATCTTTGGAGAAATTGAAATCAAAACCACAATGAGATATCACCTCACACCTGTCAGAATGGCTATCATCAAAATGTTTAATGGGGACAGAGTTTCAGTTTAGGAAGGTGAAAAATTCAGGAGATGGATGATGGTGAGAGTTGCACAACAATGTGAATGTACAGTTCAGTGCCACTGAACTGTACAGCTAAATATGGTTAAAATAGCATGTTTTATATTATGTGACATTTACCACAATTAAAAAAAAATTTAAAAAAAGATCACACATAACAAATGTTGGCAAGAATGTGGAGAAAAGGGAACCCTGATGCACAGTCAGGGGGAATATAAACTGGTACAGCCATTATGGAAAACAGTGTGGAGGTTCCTCAGAAAACTAAAAATAGACCTACCATATGATCCAGTAATTCCATCCCTGGGTGTACCTCCAAAGACAATGAAAACACTAATTCAAAAAAAACATATGCACTCCAATGTTCATAGCAGCTTTATTTACAGTTGCCAAGTTATGGAAGCAACCTAAGCGCTTATCAACAGACGAATGGATAAAAAAGATGTTGTATATATAGACAACGAAATGATACTCAGCTATAAAGAAGAATGAAATTTTGCCATTTGCAACAGCGTGGATGGACCCAGAGGGTATTATGCTTAGTGAAATAAGTCAGACAGAGAAAGACAAATACTATATGTTTTCACTTATATGTAGAACTTAGAAAATAAAATAAATGAACGATATAACAAAATAGAAATAGACTCAGAGATGCAGAGAACAAGCTAGTGGTTGCCAGTGGGGAGAGGGATGGGGGAGGTGCAAGATAGAGGTAAGGGATTAAGAGGTGTACCACAAGGTATAAAATAATAAGGTACAAGGATGCAATATATGGCATAGGGAATACGGCTAATATTTTAAAGTAACTTTAAATTCAATCACTATGTTGTACACCTGAAACTAAAATAATATTGTAAATCAAGTATACTTCAATTGAAAATTAAAAATCGGGCTTCCCTGGTGGCGCAGTGGTTGAGAGTCCACCTGCCGATGCAGGGGACACGGGTTCGTGCCCCGGTCCGGGAAGATCCCACATGCC